CTCGCACGTGTGCGGCGTGGCAGGCCGTGCGTCCTGTGTTTAGCAGAGCTCTCTTTTCGTCTGCCAGCACGTGGTGGCATTAAACCCGAGCAGCAGGAAGTGTTAGTCCTTTTTATTTGCGGATAGTGTAGGGGGTATTTACTGGGTGTTATTTACTGTCTGGTCGTTTAGATTGTAGACGATTTTTTGCATGTTATTAGTGCTTTAATCGGGGATGTGATATGGCACGTTTGATGGTGTGGTTCTTGGGGCACCCTAGAAATCGATATTTTGTTCCTGCTTAGAAGATGGCTTTGGAGGGGTTGTTTTTTTCTCTTTTCAAGTAGAAGTGGTCCAAGGGGAAAGTGAGAGACAAGCTGAACAACCTCGTCCTGTTTGACAAGGCCACCTATGACAAGCTGTGCAAAGAAGTGCCCAACTACAAGCTCATCACACCCGCAGTTGTCTCAGAGAGGCTGAAAATCCGAGGCTCCCTGGCTCGGGCTGCCCTCCAGGAGCTGCTCAGCAAAGGTGAGCACTCAGGACTGGAAAAATAGAAAGCTGCTTGAACTGGATGTTTCCTTTTCCTTGCTCCCCCAGTAGGTTTCCGGCAGCATCTGAAGAGCTGCGTGTGCACACTGGTGTGGTTTTGGGAAGCCTTAGCTTGCAATTCAGAAGTGCTCCAAAGCACAGGGCAGCAGCTCTGCTGCATGCAGTGGCATTGCTATACCAAGAAGATGCTGCTAGGAGGTCAGGCTATGAAGTAACTGCTCCCAGATCAGAACAAAAGCCTTGTATAAGCTGCTGCCCCGATGTTTCCTCCTGCACGTTGTCCTGCCGCTCTAGGCGTGAGCACCACGTCCCTGGCATCTGTCAGTCCACACACACATCATTTCCTTGTCTTTGTAGGTTTGATCAAACTGGTGTCCAAGCACAGAGCCCAAGTGATCTACACCCGAAACACGAAAGGTGGAGATGCGCCTGCCGCCGGGGAGGACGCCTAGGGAGGTGAGGCTGTGCTCGAGGAGCTGGGTGTGCTGTGTCAGGAGGTAACGAGGGCTGCACGAGGGTAGGGCAGCTCCCACGTGGCCATGGGTGGTCCTTGTTTCCTGACACTCAAGCACAGTGCTCCTGTTTGGAGCGGCTCCCTGGGGCCATCACTGGAAACAGTGGTTCTCCAGCCATTAAAGAGCAGTTTGTGATTTTTGTCCCATCAGATGAGGGAAGCAATGTGTGTTCTGTGGGGCATGTGGGCATGAGTCCCCCCTGCAGTCACAGGGGACCACGGCCAAGTGTTCTGCTAGAGTAGAGCTGTTGGAGTGTTTGCTTGGTGCTCACCTGCTTTGACCTCATTTTCTGATTAGGGACTTTTGTTTTGCAGATGCTCCGGTGACCTTGTCAACGGTGTGTCATATGTAGATGCACACAATAAAATTACAGAAATAGGTTTTCATGCTTTTCCAAGAATTTGTTTCATTACTGATGCATTTTTGACAGTGGATTCTGGTACAGGTCATGGCTCTTGTCCTCCAGCAGCCAGGTTTTGCTTTTATACAGTGTTATAAACGTATGGTGAACATGCTTTTACATTGCCAGAAGGGAAGGAACTTATGCATCACCTACAGCAGCCAGTGATGTTAAACCATATTCAGGTCTAGTAGGAGGAATATTGAATCCTATTTCTCACATCCTAGATAGGGAAGGTGCCAGCAGGGTAATTCATTTATTTATAGAATGAATCATAGGATCACAGAACAGTTTGAGTTGAAAGGAACCTTCAAGACCATCTAGTTCTCACCCCCTGCCATGGGCAGGGACACCTTCCACTGGACCAGATGGCTCCAAGCCCCATCCAACCTGGCATCCACAATTTCTCTGGGCAACAGGTGCCAGTGCTTCAACAGCCTCTAAAGTATTTGTTCTAACACCTAATCTGAACCTGCCCTCTTTCAGTTTAAAACCATCGTCCTATGTCCTGTCACTATCTGCAGGTATAAAAAGTCCCTTTCCCTCTTTTTTTTTTTGTAAGCCCCTTAAGGTCCTGGAAGGCTGCAATGAGGTCTCCCTGGAGCCTTCTCTTATCCATGCTGAACACCACCGAACTTGCTCAAACTCCCCCTAAACAAGCTGTGCCCACAGATCTGTGTGTGTACAAGGCAACAGCATGTAGTGGGTCAGTGACTAGTGGGGAAGTGCAGATAATGCTGTAAGTACTTTATTTAAATAGGAAGTAAAAACTGCCCAAAGCATTAACTCTTTCATGCCTCCTTCTACTCAAAGCTAGTTAAGTCATACTTCATGTGAGGCAGAATGAAGGAAAGTGATATAAATTGGAATGAAAACATCAGGCATGTGGTGTTAGTTGCCTGGACTGGGCCCTGCTTTTGAAATGAGTTTCAGTTTGGTCTACAAACACACGAAAATTTTTATTTAAAAGTTTTGTTTCTCAAATATTTTAACACGATGTTGTGCTCCATATCAGCACAGCCCACCAGCAGCACTTGCTGTATGAACTAGGCTTTCTGATAATGAAGATATGGCAACTGCAGGAGCCTGTCCTTGTTGGCAGGACCTGCCTCTGTGTAGCTCAAGACTTCAGAAGTGGATGCCCAGATGGACACTGCTTGTCCTTACAGGGCAGTGGAGTTGCTGTGACCCTCTGGCAGAGCAGCTCTCAGCAGCAGTGCTGAGGTCACCCTGCCTTCATGGGACTGAGCACAGCTAAGTGTGTATGTTAAATACGAACTTTAAACTTGGCAGCAGCACCAACAAAGCTGCAGCTACGTTTCCACAGCAGAGCTGGATGTCTTTGGTGGTCCTCTTTTGATCACCTTTTTGTCTTCTCCCTTGATTCAGTTCTAAACTGATGCCTGAAAGAGAGTGTAGAAGTCAAGAGTGCAGCAGCCCTTAGACAGGGATAACGAACACTGCCCCCTCTAACACATAAGATAGTGCTCTAAGCATAGTGTTTTAGCAGGGAAGCTCATTGTCTTGTGTTACCTCTGAGCAGCCGCAGTCTTTCCAGCTAGCTGACACAGACTTCTGGCACATGAAAAGGTGCCAGTGGGACAGTATGTGGGTATGCAGGGTGAGCCAAACAAAACGAGGCAGACACTTGCTGTGTGCAGGCTCTGCAGCCACGACCATGCTTCACCTCACCGCCCGGGCGTGCGCGGTTCCAGGACAGGAGGGACACTGCCTGGGTCGAGCGCTGTGGCATGACGCGTGTGGCAAGGCATCTCCTGACGCTTGCTGCCACCTCAGAGCCTGCTCCATTAGGAGCTTGGATGGACAGAAGCTACAAACCCTCACCTGGCATCCATCTGTGCTGCCCTGGAGCTCACCTGGACTGCCACCTCCTGCCGTGATTCCACACGCGCCCAAAGGACGGGAGCCAGCTGTCACCTGTCTGAGAGTTATGGTCGAAGTTGGCGCCAACGCGCTGTGCTGGGAGCTTTTTCCGCTTCTGCTTCTCCTCTGAAAACCAAAAATCATACAATACTTGTAGAGCAGTTTGGTTTGGAAGGGAACTTAAAGATCATGTTGCTTACAGTCCCTTGTGGCATGGATGGGACACCTTCCCCTAGACCAGGTTGCTCAAAGCCTCAAATAGTTTGTTCAGCAAGTTTTTCAGTCAAACTGCTTTTAGTTCTCTACCGCAGTACTGACTGAAATACATGCAAGCTGCTTACTTTGTTTGAGAAACTCCTCATAGGACGGTCCAATCTCTTGCTTATTTCCATCCTCCTCCTCTGTTAGCCACGGAGGTTTTGCTCCTAGAAGCCACAGGAAACACCTATTTAGCCACTGAAGTTATCCCAAACTGTTTGCCCTACCAAGCAAGCAGTGAAAGAAAAGTAAATTCTAAGAAAAAGGAGCTGGCTTCCTCAGTTAAGGCCATGGCAGATCATACCCCAAATCATACACTCCACAGCAGCAGCACCAACACAGTTTTCATAATTCAAAAGTGTTTTCTTCTCTAGTATGTCACACGCTGCCAAAAGAGTGAGCACCTCCTGGTTATGGTGCAACTGCTTCAAAACTGCTTTGAGTTATCCCTGTGACATTGGCAAGCTAAAAGGTAACCCAGTGAGTTGCATTGCAGGCATAATTACCTGTGTGAACATTTCCTTTCCCTTCTGTTTCCTGTTAACAGAAACAAAATGCTAATGAGAATCTGATATTTAAAAGTATCTCTGAACAGAAGGGCATTGTGTGCACTCCCACAATCACATTCTATTACAGAGACTCTACTTAAGGAGCGTTTGTTTTTTCAAGGCACATTAAAGAACATTTGCTTAATGAAAGTTAACACTGGATAACTTAAACAGAGCTAGCTGCTCTCACAGAACTGCAAAACTGTCTTCTGGTGGTGGAGATCGCACCCCTTGTTGTGTTTTGTGACATGCAGATCAACTAAGTCACGCTCCTGGCCAGTTCCCCCTACCTGGTGGCCAATGAAGGTCAGAGCCTGGCCTGATTCCATCCAGGTTAAGTCAGGTCCAGTCTGCATCCCACTCGGGCCAGGCCGCTCTGCATCGTGAGGGGCATCCCTGGAATAGAGGCCAGGGCTTACTGCAGTCTAGGCAAACGTTTGTGAAGCACCTGAGCGAGTGCAAGATGCCGGTGATGGCAGCATCGCCTCCAGCTGCTGCGGGGCATCCTGTGCTTTGAGCACGGACACTTCAGCTGCGCTGCAAGACAGTGGTGCTCACCGTTGGGGTCCCGTGGGGGGGCTGCAGATCGAGGGTCCTGCACTAAGCTCTGCCTCTGTTTGAAGCTGAGTGCGATTCAGGAAAAAGGGACAAGATTTGCGGTACTGAGCAG